GACTCCGAGATGTATCCCATTGAATTTCAAAACTTTTCGACACCCGGCCCCGAAACCTCCAAAATATCATAAAAAGTGTGGATATTAGCCTTCAATTTTGGAATTTTTTGACTTTTTTCGCTTGGAAATAAAAATAGCCGAAATTTTTACCATGGTCCCTAATATCTTCTGGTAGTCTCATTGGGTGGGTGGAAACATACAATTTGCCTTTAAACGACCAATTTACCGGTTTACAACTTTCAACGATTTCATTAACTCAAGCCCACCACGAACATTTTTGACAACAAATAATGATCATATATGGTTCCAAATGAAATAATATGACCCCGAGATGTATCCCGTAAAATTTCAAGACTTTTTGACACCGGGCCCTAAAACCTTCAAAATTTCTCAAAAAACGTGGATATTAGTATCCAATTTTGGAATTTTTTGACTTTTTCGCTTGAAAATAAAAATTTCCGAAATGCATGTTTACCATGGTCCCTAATACCATCTGGGAGTCTAATTGGGTTGGTGGAACCATCCAATTTGTCTTTAAAGGATCAATTTATTTACCGGTTTACAAATTGCACGGATTTCATTAATTCAAGACTACTACGAACATTTATGACAATAGATAATGATCTTATATGGTTCCAAACGGAATTATATGACCTCGAGATGTATCCCATAGAATTTCAAAAAACTTTTCAACACCCGGTCCCGAAACCTCAAAAATTTCTCAAAAAGTGTGGATATTAGCCTTCAATTTTGAAATTTTTTGTCTATTTTACGCCCGAAAATAAAAATTTCCGAAATGTTTACCATGATCCCTAATACCTTTCAGGAGTCCCATTGGGTGATGGGTGGAACCATACAAATTGCCTTTAAACGACCAATTTACCGGTTTACAACTTTCACCGATTTCATTAACTCAAGCCTACTACGAACATTTATGACAACAAATAATGATCATATATGGTTCCAAACGGAATTATATGATCCCGAGATGTATCCCCTAAAATTTCAAGACTTTTCAACACCGGGCCCCAAAACCTTTAAAATTTCTCAAAAGCATGGATATTAGTTTTCAATTTTGGAATTTTTTGACTTTTTTTTTGCCCAAAAATAAAAATTGCCGAAATGTTTATTATGGTTCCTAATACCGTCCAGGAGTCTAATTGGGTTGGTTTAACCATCCAATTTGCCTTTAAACAGCTAATTTATTTACCGGTTTACAAATTGTACGGATTTCATTAATTTAAGCCTACTACGAACATTTATGACAACATATAATGATCATATATGGTTCCAAACGACATTATATTACCCCGAGATGTATCCCCTAAAATATTAATACTTTTATACACCAGGCGCCAAAATCTCTAAAATTTCTTAAAAAGCATGGATATTAGCCTTCAATTTTGAATTTTTTGATTTTCTTATCGCCTGAAAATAAAAATTGCCTTAATGTTTACCATGGTTCCTAATACTCTACGGGAGTCCAATTGGGTGGGTGGAACCATCCAATTTGCCTTTAAACGACCAATTTACCGATTTATAACTTGCATCGATTTCATTAATTCAAGCCTACCACGAACATTTATAACAACAAATATTGATCATATATGGTTTCAAACGACATTAAAGACCTCGAGATGTCTCCCATAGAATTTCAAGACTTTTCGACACCGGGCCACGAAACCTCCAAAATTTCTCAAAAAGTGTAGTTATTAGTCTTCAATTTTGGAATTTTTTGACTTTTTTTGCTTGGAAATAAAAATTGCCGAAATGTTTACCATGGTCCCTAATATCGTCTGGGAGTCCAATTGGATGTGTAAAACCATTGAATTTGCTTTTAAACTGCCAAATTACCGGTTTACAAGTTGCACCAATTTACCGATTTACAACGGCCAATTTAATTAACTTGCACCGAATCCGATTTGAATCGAAATTGACTCAAACCCGTTTTAACCCTTCAAAACCCAAATTTAACCTGATTTGTTACTAACCTGACCTGAATTCAATCCGACCTGTTCCTACCATGACCCGAATTTTACCCAACCTGTTACAAACTCGACCTGAAATCAACTCTATTTGTTATTGACTTGACCCAAATTCAGCCCGACTTGTTATTTACCCGACCCGAATTTTACCATACCTATTACTTACCCAACCTAAATATTCAACCTGATCTGTTATTAACCCGACTCGAAATTAACACGACTTGTTATTGACCCGACCTAAATTCAACCCAAATTGTTTCTGACTCGATTTCAAATCACCTTAAATGCAATTTAGACTACCTTATTTTTGTTGATCAAAACATTTTGTCTTGGGAGACCAAGTCGGGCCAGGCCAACAAAAGAAAGGAGCAGCATCCTCAAATTTAAGAGTTAAATATAGTATATATATTTGTTGTATGGTCAAAGGAGATAATTATCTTCCTAAATTATAGACTATAGTTCCCTAATATATTGCCATATATTGATATATATTATAGTCAAAGGAAATAATTAGGTTGATAAAAATGATAATTATCTATTTATAGTTAGTTGAACCCGAATATGACCTGACTTGGAAATGACCCGACCTGATTGTAACCTACAAATTATTGACTTGAACATAACCTGACTTAAATCCGAGAATAACTCGACTTGGAAATCTCCCAACCTGATTAAAAGCCGCAAGTTATTGACTTAAACTGAACTTGAGAATGACCCGACCTGATTATAATCCGCAAATTATTGACTTGAACCGAACTCGACTCAAACCCGAGAATGACCCGACCTGATTCTAATCCGCTTATTATTGACTTGAACCGAATCGGACTCGAACCCGAGAATTAACCTAACTCTTTTTAATCGAATTAAACCCGACCTATTGTTCACCCGACCTTTTTATTAACCTGACCCAAATCCGATAAGAAGTTTGACCCAACGTGACACGACTGAAGCATGACCCAACCCAAACCCGACTCACATAGGTTGTGAAATTAATTTGAATTGACCCGACCCACTCTTACCCAACCCAAACTCGACCCCGACCCGTTTACCCAAATTGACAGCTCTAGTGGTTATACGAAGCATTTTAGTGTTGCACAAAGTTTTATAAGTGACTAGTCACACCATATAGTCGGGTTTACTTGAAAGATTGCTTGATCAAGAGTTACTTAAGCAATTACTCACACCAAAAAAAAAAAAAAAAAAAAAAAAAGAACTTGAGCAATTACTCAATCAGGGAATTTACTTGTGTTAGCCGGCCACACTATATATAGTGTAGCACAAAGTTTTATAAGTGACTAATCACACCATATCATTAGTTTCATGCCAGATGAGCTTGGGAAGATCCTCCAAGAGGATGCTAGAGAGGGGTATCAGCGTATCACTGCCTCGCTTAGTTCCTCCTTAATTGCTTTGTAGTTTAGTTTAAGATGTTTGTTTTTTCTGCCTTTTCGTTTCTTCTTTTTCTGTTCTGTCTTTTCTAGTCTTTTTGCTTCTGTTAGCTAGGGGTGAAAGTTCGGTATTCGGTTTGGATTATACCCCAAACCGAATCCAAACCGAATTATTTCGGTTTCTGATTCTTGGAACCGAATCCAAACCGAATTTGGATTCAATCCAATCCAATCCAAACCGAAATAATTCGGTTTTGAAAAATGGATCCAATCCAAACCGAATTTTTTTGGGCTGTTGATTTGGGCCTTAAAATTGGGCTTTTAATCGGAAGTTTGTTTTGGCCCTTTTGTAGGCCTAAATTGGTGAATTACAATGGTTGGTCTTTAAGCCAAAAATTTGCCAAATTAAGGGAAAATCATAATAAAAAAATTTGTCCAGCCACTAGAATAAAATTACAAACACGATAAAAGTCTTAAAATGGAATAACAGTCTACAATGAGTCTACATGCAGCTAAAACCATAATAACATCAACTAAAATCAATATGGTAGATTGACAGCAGCTAGAATCAACATGGCAGGCAGCAACTTCTTCATTTCTTCAACATGGCAGCTTCAAACAATCAAGCTCAACTATATCTAACAATAAAAAAAATAAACATGTTACATAATATATATAAATAAATCAAAGGAAATCAATATAATCAAACAAACAAAACATCAATGTCGCCAATTTAAACATTATAGCATATCAATGTCATCATATTAGCCAATTTCGAACAGATCGAACAACAAATTAACGAATTCAAACAGAACAGAACTATTGAATGAAAACTTGAAAAGAGAAGTGGGAAATGAGTACACATCTAAGAAGAAGAAAAGCAGGAAAAGATAAGTGAAATTAACAGAACGAAAGTGAAATTAATAAGAAGAAGAGAAGCAAAAAAGGAGAATTCTTACCCTTGAGTGACTGAGTGAGAGGAGATAGTGAGGGAACGCGAACACGAGCGGCGCCGCGGCGGTGAACTGGTGGTAATTTTAGGGAGCACAAAACCACGAACACAAGCGGCGGTGAGAAACGAGATCTGCGGGAGCACGAAGCCACGAACACAAGCGAACTGATGGTGATAGACGTTGACCGGATATGTGGTGAGCGGACTGAGGAAGGTGGTGGTCGGAGCTACTGAGGTGGTGAGGGAGAAAATGGGGAAATTTTGGAGGATTAGGGTTTGGTGAGGAATGTGCCGCAGAAGAGGGGAAAAAAAGACTGGGATAAGAGAGGAGTATTTTAGGGCTTTAGTATATATATGTAGGGTAGGAGAAATGGGCTGGGATATTTGGGCTTCATAAATTTCGGTTTGGATTTTCGGTTTTCGGTTTTTGGAAGCCCAAAACCGAATCCAAACCGAAATATTTCGGTTTTGATTTTTTGAAACCGATCCAAACCGAAAACCGAAAAAAACCGATCCGAATTGCTATTTCGGTTCGGTTTGGATCGGTTTTCGGTTTTTATCCAAATTACTTTCACCCCTACTGTTAGCTTGTTTTTTCTTATTTCTTGTATGTAATTCACTAATTCTCATTTGAATCAAAAAAAAAAAAAAAAAAAAAGTGGGGCCTAAGAAAAAAAAAACAATTTTAATTAAAAATAATACTGTGTCAACATCTTCAACAAGAAAAAAAAAATATCTTCTTCTTTCTTCCTCAAAAACCTTTTATAAAAATACGCAATCAATATTTCTCTCTCCTCCCATTTTAATGGCGGACAATAACCAACAACAACAACCACCAGTAGTCCTAATCACTGGTTGCTCAGATGGCGGCATCGGAAACGCTTTGGCACGTGCTTTTGCGGCGGAAAACTGCCACGTGGTGGCCACCAGCAGATCTCTGACAACCATGTCATTATTGGAACAAGATCCTCGTTTTACAGTCAAAGAACTGGATGTGTTGTCGGAGGATAGCATAAATCACGTGATTTCCAGTGTTTTGGATAAGTTTGGAAGGATTGATATTCTTGTTAATAATGCTGGTGTTCAATGTGTTGGTCCTCTTGCTGAGATCCCTATTTCTGCAATGCAACGAACATTTGATACCAATGTTTTTGGTATATATTATATACTTACCTTGTTAATCTATCGTATCGAGTTTTTGTGATTGTATATATTTAACTAACACGACATTCTGTTCACTTTTAGTTGTAACGTTTGGAATTTGTCATTTTTATTTGACCGCATTTGGTGATTTATAATATGTTTGACTAAACATAGTTTTCTTAGATTCCTTTCAATGATCTTTATAAAAACAAATTTTAATGTTTTTATTTTTACTATTCTATCACTAGGGATTGGATATGAAGGATTTAAATTATGTATTGGCAAGCGTGGAACTCAAAACGTTTGCAACTAAAAGGGGGCGGAGGAACCGAGGAAGTATGAAATGTAGTAAATATGTGGGTTTGATTGAGTAATACTTGTGTATGTTTTTTATGTGAACAGGTACGATGAGATTGATACAGGGGGTGGTACCAAACATGGCGTTGAGAAAAAAGGGAAAGATAGTGAATGTTGGGAGTGTTACTGTACTGTCACCTTTACCATGGGGAGGTGTTTATACAGCGTCAAAAGCTGCTATACATGCTCTTTCAGATTCTCTAAGGTTTGTGCTCATATAAAGTCATATTTGTTATTCATTTGAGCAGATTACTGAACTAATTAACTGCTATCATATGAGTGAAATTTTCTATTAGATACTCTAATGACCTACAGATTTGTTAGAAGGGACCCTTATTAGATCAGATGCGCGGATATGGATAGGCCGGTTAGAGGGTAAGCTAGAAAAGATTATAGATTTTTCTGACAAATTGTACTTGCAGGTACTGATATTCTGTCTGAAGTACAGTTGAAATCTCACTTTCTCAGACAAAATTTGGTAGAATTCAGAGTTAAAGCTTTAGAAAACAGTAATATGGACTTCATAAATGATCTAACTGTAAAACTTGTGAGGAGTCACTTATGGTCAAATCCTTAAACTTCCAGAAAATACACAGATCAGTAATGTGAACTTCATAATGTGATCTCACTGATCTGAATGTAAAAACTCTTGAGCAGTTTGGTATTCTCGGAGGTCTGTTGGCCTTCTGATGTTCGAGCCTAGTAACAAGTTTAAAAGGTTCCTATCGCGTGATTCAAATAGGATCATCAGCCTTGATCCTGTATTATGAGCCCGTTTCCCATGTTTGTAAAAATGTGACAAATTTGATGATTATAACTTGTAAATCTTGCCATTAACAGCCTAATAGAGTTTGATGTCAATAAACTTGCTAGAAAATACAAGGAGAAGAATTTGTAGAGCATTGTTTTGCTTTAGTTTTCTTTTGGGTTATGTCTGTTTGTACATATCAAATGACTGCTAGAAAACAATTGTATTATTGGCCTAGAAAAAGTTGTTCACTATTAACTTCTAGTCTTCTACTCCATTGTGCAGGTTTGAACTTGGGCTTTTAGGTATTGATGTTATCAATGTTGTACCTGGTGCTATCAAATCAAATATAGGGAAGGCCGCCATTGCTACCTATAGCCAATTTCCAGAGTGGAAGCTATACAAGCAATATGATGCAGCTATACGCGAAAGAGCTACCATTTCCCAGGGCCCTAAGTCAACACCGGCGGAAGAGTTTGCAAAGAAAACTGTCACTCAGATAATGAAGAAAAAAACGCCTGCTTGGTTCTCCTATGGCCATCAGTCCACTGTGATGAAAATTATGTACTATATGCCAATTTTTGTCCGGGATTTCATTATGCGGCTTGTAATGAAATGTTGATTTGTTTTTATAAGAATTTTGTATTACTTCTTACTCCATGTAACAGTTGATTGAAGCCTCCATTAATCATATCTATGGAAGTCTGGCCTGGTATTCTGCTCACTCAAAGTTTCTCAGCAATCTTGGTATAATCATCCTGCCTGATGGTGAAACGCCAGCAGACTCAGGTGTCATTCGCTTCACGAACATTGGGTTACCTTCGTTGCCAATCAGGACAATAACAGAGTATCAAAGGAAGTCTAGTATTCTGCTCGCCCAAAGTATTTTGCTTGATTTTTACTTTTTTTTTTTTTTTTTTTGAGGGGATGCTTGATTTTTACTTTCTAATCTCATTTGTATATACTTACACGTAGTATGTAGATTTTTGGAGCAATTAAGCTATTAGTTTAACGAGTTATAAATGAACAAATTAATTTAGGACCTCTAATTAACGAGTGAGTCAAGTTTGAACAAACGGATCCCAAATTTAGCTGAAGATCAAGATTTAAAATCAGAAAACATGGACATTAGATACAATTTTAAACTCTATATGAGAGTGGTAATGCGAGTACATAACTTTTTTTTTTTTTTTTTTTTTTTAACACAGTAAGATACAAGGGGTACCCTTCCTATCACAATAGGGGTGGGATGAGGATCAAACCCAGGTCACTCCTGGAGGAGATGGAGGAACAAAACGTCCCTCTACAAGTGATAATACGAGTACAATACATAATACGGAGTACTATTTTGCTAATGCTTTTTCCGGGCAGGGCCAGCACCATGCTGTTTTCCATCAAAGTTAAACTCTTCATTAATTTGCAACACCCTATGGGATCTGTGAAGCTTTGATCATTACGATCATTTGTACTCTCATCACCAATCACATCAGTTGCCTTGCTCAGATACTTACATATTGGGTGAAGAACAAAATTATTCAAATTTAAAACACATAATGGTTAAAAAAAAATGCCACAATTTTCTTAACTATGAGAGCAAATCCAGCACCAAATAAGTCAACTTAAGTTTTCCAAACTATGTGCTATATTTCCCTATTATCAATAAAACTACCTAACCAGAATATGCTTTTTATGCATACTAATACTTAAACACTAATTAAGGTTAGCAACTGGGAAACTATAGGGACCGAAATCCTAATCAGGCTTAATCAGTAATTACACATTACACAGCTCTACCTGCACTGAATCAACAGTCAAGAGCTACTATCCTATCACCATTATTCCTTCCTGTATTAATGTATTAATAAAAGCTCAACCTTTTTCCTACTATTATGCCCCCTTCTGAATGGGGACATTTCGAACAAGGGAATGCTTCAATAGGGAAAAAAGGAGTCCATCTAAATAAATTATCACAAACTAATTTGAGAATCCCCATCATTGAAGCTGATGGGTTTGTGTGTAATACACCATACCAGGTGGTTGAAGCGGACGAAAACTTGGAGGAGCTGGTGGTTGCTGTTGCATCAACATCATCGATTGTTGCTGTTGTGACAATTGAGCTGATTGTTGTGCCATTGGCATCATCTGCTGTTGATTCATTTGCATTTGGTTTTGAGCCATAGGCATCATCGGATGCATGACATGAGGTGGTGGTGGGCCTGGTGGAGGAAGGCCCCCATAACCATAAGAATTGATCCCTCTTGGTGTTTGAGCATATTGTTGGGAAGTTGGATTTGAAAGTAGCTGATACTGGGTCTGAGGGTTTGGGCTCATATTTTGCATGTTTTGCTGGTTCACCAACATTGATTGATACTGATTCGGGGGAGCAGCTGCCAGTGATACTGATGATGGCTGTTCCTGCGTCGACATAGAATTAAGGGCCAAACTGACAGATTGTGAGGGATAAGAGCTCGAAACTGAGTTTGGTTTAGCAAGGCCAGCTTTCTTCTTAGCTTCTTCAGCTGCAAATGTTGACAGGACAGAAGTCATGATCAACTGAGATGAGCTAGAAGCAGTGAGTTTGTCAGCAACCTCAGCTGCAATGTCTGCAGCAGTCTTCTTGGATTTTCCCGCATTGGCAATTGGAGTCGCAACATAATTTTCATCATTGAGCCGCTTTCGCATGTTGTTAGCCTCCTCGGCTTGTGCTTGTGCAACCTGAACATGAAGATAAACCAATTATTATTAATGAATTTACTTTCCAGAATCAAAACTATCAAATCTCTCCACCAACAAAGCTGCAAGTCTGCAAGTAATAGTTAGTATTGGCGTGATAGGTAAGGCTACCAACTTTTCGTTTATATCTAATATAGAGCATAAGAAAAAAAAAAGATAAAAAAAAAAAAAAGTCGAATTATACTGAAATAAGAGAACACAAGGGGCTTCCAATTTTTCAAACATCAGCTGCAAGACATCGATTGAGGGCCATAGAAGCAGAAGAGTAAGGCTCTGTTCTAACTAATAAGTTATAACATTAATTTCAGCAAATAGGATAAGATATGCATAATACTTCAAAGAGTTCACACCAAGAGGATCTGGGATGAAATATACAGAAATACAGAATACCCAATCAAGTTCTCACCAAAAGGATTATTGTTGATAAATACACGATAAGCCTAAATTCTGTAAAAGCAGAGGCGCTATTTGCATACAAGTATTACTATTACTGTTACTATTATTATTGTATCAATCAATAAATCAGAATTAAAATCAAAGTGTACCCTTTCCACCATTACTATTTGCACAACCATGTAAAAGAAAACCTTACTGAAGCAAACACAATCATCATAACTATGAGAATTAGTGACAAGAGCACTAGCAAGTACCTGCATTTGTGTACGAACATTCTCCAATTCAGATTCCTGTCAATGTCAGACACAGTGATCGTGTGTTAGACCAGCTAATAAAAGACCAGAGCTAAGAACATGGTATCCATTTCTTTCTGATTTTTAAATTTACTCCTCTTTTCAATTAAAAAATAAATAAATAATCAACATTTCTTCTGCCTACTGTTAAAAAAAAAAAAAAAAAAAAAAAAAACCATGATTAAAAAGCCTTAATTCATACCTGCTCTTGTAGCGCTTCTTTTAGCTGAGTAACAAGCACTGCTCTATTTGCTTCAATAGACTTCAGTTTCTCAACACACTCTTTCAAAATAGCCTCTTCCTCCTCCAATTCTTTAGCCAAAGTTTTTCGCTGAGGATCCTTGGCTGAAATGTAAATTGTCACGCTAAGCTTTCCTTATAACAAGAAATGCATCACATTCCACTAATAAAACAAATTTGTTCTATATTAGACACCAATCAGCATTTATTTTCATAATGGATACATCAAATTAATTACAATCCCGGCAAATCTACACTTTACCTTGAGCACAAGCTTTTTCAACATCATGATCCATTTTCCTCACACGGTTAACTGCAGACTTGCATCTACTCATCTCCGATTCTTCTGTGAGATGTTCATTAAGAACTGAATGGAAAGCTGTCACAATTTTCTCTGCGGGGCCCCCAATAGATAATTTCTGTATCAATAATTGTGAGTTGCATGGTGATTAAAACTTGTGTTATAACAAGAGAATAAAACAAAGTATGGACCATCATCTGGGATGCCAATGGCCTCAGCACATAACAATAAGGAAATCGAAGTAAAAATAGATTATTACAAACATGAAAGCAAAAGGACAGCAGGATCTCACCGTCCTTATGGAACGTGAATCCCTTCGTACAATCTTGACTGTCCGTGATCGCTTCTTACTGAACTCAAGAGGAGGAAGTGCCTCATCTTTAAGCATTATATCTATCAGATTTTGTGCCTTGTTCCCAAAAACTTTTCTTTCATCCCAAATTGTAACCTGCAAAGCAAAAATTAGAGCTTGGAACTACACATGTTCTAACTCAAATTAAAAATTCTATCTAGCTTATTTAATTTAGTAGTATAATGATTGAAAGTAAACTTAAGATGTTCAGATTTCAGAACGAGAAGATAATTTATTCCATACAAAAGCAATTTATCATAATTGTAGAGGCAAGAATGTATAAGGCATACCAATCTGGAGACGACCTTCTTTCCTTGATCATCACCTTTGTTATGGACATCCTTGAGAGCCTGAGGAAGTACCTTCCAGAACTCAATAACAAACTCATTACCTTTACGTTTGCTGTTCTGTAGTATGTCATTGGCAAGATATAGAAGGGGAACTTTCAGAATCATCTCAGAACTATGGAACTGTTGGTTCCATGTTGCTACAACCACTTCAGCTTTGCTTCGATGAAATATACACCAGTGCGACAATGCTATTTAGGAATTAAGGTGACAAGTATTCTAAACGACTTGCACAAACAATAGATGAGCTATTAATCTAACCAACAGTCTTTTAGCACCATTATGGAGATGACAAAAACTTCCAAGACATAGCAAGATCCAAGCAAGAAAAACATACAATCATACATAAGGTGTAACAAACACAACTAACAGATTTGAAAGAAACCGGAAATTTATGCACTTCAACAGTAGTTGGCATATCTTATATTAAAAAAATAGAAAACTGTTAACCACAACTCTCCATAACCTCAATCCTCAAAATCTATTTATTCTCTCCTAATAAAAGTAACAAAACTCTTTGTACCAAAAAGAAAATAAATAAACTTCTCATACACCCAATATAGCCCATGTTTACACCAAAAATGGGCTACCACCAATAACTTCACCTTTTGCTACCAAGATTGGCTTACTGGACTACCACAGGTTCTAATTAAGCCAAAGAAAGAAATCATACACCGTAAAGGATATTCCTCATATGTACAGTATGGTCTCATTTTATGCAGATTATTCATTAAGGCAGTGTCCAACAAAGTGCATTCTTGTTGCAAAACGGTATTGGAAGAGCTTAACATAGTAAGTGCTTGCACCAGAAGAAAAGGACCACTAAGGGGAACACTAAAATATTACACTAGAAATCATTAATCTGGGCAACCTTGCCGATTAAGCAACCACACTTACATTTGTTTTCTAACATGAGGACTCAGCCCTCAATGGCATGGTATAAAAATTATATATGTCAGATAGTAAGAGAGGAGATTACAGTATTAAACAGTCATATGAAAGCAACACTTCAGCTGCCAATCATCATAAATTGCTACAAATGTCCCAAAATCAACCACATCTTAAATCAAACGATCTCCTTGTAGCTTATCAACTTGCTTGAAGATCTTCTAGATGGAAAATTCAAGTGAAAATTTGAATACAAAACCCCTTAACAGTTTCCATGGTCTTCCTTTACAGTTTACACCACCACAATCCTTTTCTAGAATGCTAATTGTTGGCACAAAAATGTATATCTGGATTTCTCTCATCAGCTTGAATGTCTTAATCCCATAAGTGGGGTCGACTACATGAACCAACATGAGGACTTCACAGTAAGTCACCCGTCAAGTACTACTCTCAATTATTGTGGCTCATGTCAAGCGATGTGACAAGGTTTTAAGTGTCACGGGCCTAACGTAACTACTCCATACATATAAATTCATAAAATCCAAGATCCACATCACCAAATATCTAGATAGAACCAAATCATTCGGTGAAGTAAAAAAAAAAAAAAAAAAAAAAAAACTAACGCATAAAAGGCATGAAAAGATGCTCTAACTTTGAATGGCATTGAAGTCCACCCACAGTTGATAAATATCTGCAAACCTTTGATTTCCTTTCAAACTACACAGCCTAAACGTGGAATCAAGTTTATCTACATACTCATTGCCTATAGTAATCAATAAAAACAACTCAACATCCGCAAACCGTTGACTTCCTTTCAAACTACACAGCCTAAACATAGAATCAAGTTTATCTACATACTCATAGCCTATAGTAATAAATAAAAATACCTCAACAATCGCAAACTGTTGATTTCCTTTCAAACTACACAGCCTAAACGTGGAATTAAGTTTATCTACATACTCATAGCCTATAGTAATCAATAAAAACACCTCAACATCCGCAAACCGTTGACTTCCTTTCAAACTACACAGCCTAAACATAGAATCAAGTTTATCTACATACTCATAGCCTATAGTAATAAATAAAAACACCTCAAAATCCGCAAACCGTTGATTTCCTTTCAAAACTACACAACCTAAACGTAGAATCAAGTTTCATCTACATACGCATTGCCTATAGTAATCAATAAAAACACCTCAGCTACATACGACCATACATCATCGTTTCACAACATAAAACTATCCACATATAGGTCGGGATTATCAAAAAAATCCATTGCCTGCAATGATCACAATCGAATATAGAATAATAACACCTCCACTACACGTGCCATACGTTTTCATTCCACAACACTAAATATTTGTCTTGTAGACTAGAAACACAAGTGACGATGTAAAATTAAAACATCATCATTTACTACTGGATTGGCCATAAGTAGTACCACTACAAACATATCGCCATTACCACCATTTATAAATTTATAACCGCCTACCAAACGAGCTGTAAATAGATTATACAAATCAAATAAAAAAAATTCTGAACAAAGGTATATCAAGTAACAAACAAATGAATTCATATCATTAAATTAAACATTTAAAACTTCAAAATTTAAATAAAAAAATGGCATTAATTCCAGCAAAAAAATAGAGAAAATGAAGGATACTTTCTATACATTGTTGAGTGCTATTGAGCTTGGATAGCTTATCAGCTAATATCTGTTCACTGAAAACACTATTCATCCCAGCAAACCTGAGCTCTCAGCTGTACAAAAATGAATAGTTTTTACCGCAAATGAAGAGCTTTTCGGGTGAAAGTTCTTCGATTTATTCGCTTACAAACTTTCTTTCTCTCTCCTCCTGGTTCAATTGAATTCATGAACCAGAAAACCTAATAAACCCTCGGAATTGAAGCAAAACATGGAATTCCAACATCAATTATTTTTCGATTTTTTCAAAATTTCAACAATGGTATACAAAACTATTTCAATACACAAATCAGCACATTCGATTTATACAAAAAAAAAATGAAATTAAAAATGAAATTTGGACAACAAAGAAAAGAACAGCAAAATTACAGAGGAAAATTTGAGAAATGAATTAAAACCCTTACGATTTCGAGCAAAGACGATTCCAATGAAAGCGAAAACAATGCAAAAGGCGAAGAAATCGATTGACTGAAATCAGTATTAATTCAGTTCAACGATGATTGAAAAAAAAAATCAAGAAAATTTTCAGAGATTCAAGGAAGAAGAAGAGGAGGAAGAAATTGAAAGGGAAAGGTAGAGTTGAGGAGAAGAATGAATTTGAGAGTGAGAAATGAATCGAAGAATTGAGATTTCGAATGTTTTTTAGAGCCGCAAAAATGACAAGAGTTGAGAGTGTTGTTGCAGAGGAGAGAGAAAGAAGAGAAAAGAGGGGAATTTTAGATTTTAAAAACAAAGACTTGAGGATGTCTGTGAATGACTATGGGAAACTGAGAAAACTCCTGTTCTTGCTACTACTTTCAGGGCATTTTTGTGTCAAGGTTTTCAACTGGAGTTTGGATCTTCTCATTCATCATAATTTGTCCCCCTCTTGTGCTTGTCATAAGGGTTTTTATGATATTACGATTTTGCATTTGTGAGATTCACCAAAAACACCGATCTTGAGTTATGCGGGATTTTTGAATTTACACTGTGTTAGTTAAATCTGTTGTCTCGTAAAATTATTGAGATTATGGTTTTTGAGCCAAAATAGGGGGATTTACTGATATAAATTACGACTTGACACCTACTAGTGAATAAGCTGCTTTCTGACAACTAAACCACCGTATCTATCAACTAAAGCATATGAAAAAAAAACTTTAAAAGCTTTTATTGCAACGAACTTTTTAAGTTTGACTGTTTGGAATATTTAATTAAATCAAACAAAATTTTGATATTAGCATTTTATATCATCAACAAACAATTGAAATGAGATTACAATTTAAGTGACATGATTTTGACAATATGAATAGTGGAACTACCTTAAATGAAACTTTGTCCGTTTCATTAGTCCCATGTGTCCCATATAAGTCAAGTTCGAAAATTTTAAAACTAAATGCTTGGATTGATAATACGAAAATAAATGCCCATATCACTTGAATCTTTTTTTAAAAATAATAGTCAAATTATTAGTCCCATACAAAAGATTAATTGATGATGAAGCCAAAAAAACTACTCTTACTCAGTAGCACTCATATGAGCCCGTCAGTAGTTTTCCTACTCCTACAGGTTTATGATTAATTGAACTTCACAAGAAACTCCCGATAATCATAAATTTGAATAACTATATATTAGATTAATCTACTTTACATCTGATTTTCAGAGCTCTTATTAGAGAATTAACTGGTTAGGGAGGTTTAAAGGCTCCAATCTACCACCCATAGTGCCATATATACATCAAATTCAACAACAGCAGGAAAGGATGCCATTCAAGCAGATACGGGGATTACAAGTTTATCACTCCCGCAAAAGACCACATCAACCAGCAAACAAAAAACAATTCACCTTTGTCGTAAACTTTAGAAACCAGTAAGTAAACTTCCCAAGTTGATCTGACTGTAAGATCAAACAGGAAATGCATGTTGTTGGACAGATAGATTCTGACATACTACTTGAGTATGAACATACCACTGTATATAACAAACTCAAATTCTTAAACATCTTAACACAAGTAAAATAAAATTATGTCCTACAGAAGGTTTCAAGAAAAACAGAGTAAGCTGTTCAATAAAAGAAAAAAGGGAGACGGGCCAAAGCCACAATCCAGCCCAAAGGATGAAGGTTCATTCATATGGGGTTCGCTCAGACAATTTTCTCAACTCGAACAAAAAACTTAAGGGAGACCCCAAACAATAAGCAAACATCCATCAGGATATCCTCAACTGGACAAGTTTCATCCTAATACTAACTATTGTGTTGACCAAGAAAGCTGCAAATACATCATTTCTTCCTCAACATTTACATCCTAACACATGAGCAACCAGTTACCAACCTGGGTCCTACTGCTTAGAGTTTCTACTCCGAGCTTCAAGTACAGCAGCCACTTGCTCATCGGACAAAGGCAAGTAGTAGATCCGAGGTGTTGCCTTTGTTTTCCTAAATAAATCATCCAAGGTCACTATAGGAGCCTCTACTTTTTCCATTGGTGGGGGTGGAGGTGGAACAGCCCATTCCCTAGCCTGAGGCGGGTTCGTTAAAGGAGGTGGCGGTGGTAGAGAAGGTTGTTGTGCCATCTGCTGTCTAAGGCTTTGTTGGCGGGGTGAAGGCTGCGTCACTGTAGGAGATAGTTCAGCAACAGCCGGGCCAGAACTCACAGGAGCTGCTGGAGATGGAGCTGGCTTCTCTGAACGAGCTTTAACCTCCTCCGGATCAACAAACTCAGCTAAGAGTTGGCGTCCACCATTTGGAGGCCACTGTAAGTTGTACACAGCATTCCTTGTTTCCATTGCCTCTTCAATGGATGAATACTGCAAATGAATAACAAGAGCAACAATTACATCACTGATAACAGTCAACTGCACCAAGGTACATCCAAGTACAACACAAAGGATAAGAACTTACTGTGACATAGCAATGTGTTTTAATGTGGTCCATCCAGAAACTAGTGACAGTCCCTGTTTTGGACAAAAGTTCTTGGACAGCTTTCAAGGTAAAAGGACGCAGAAAACGATCAATCCTCAGAGAATTAGTAGCAGGTTTTGACGAGGGTGGAACTGTAAATAATTGAACCAATATGTTAGTAGACAAAAATCTGGGTGTGTGAATGATGACAGAACTATTTACCACAAAAACATATTTGCCCAACCTTCACGCTCTTTAGGGGGCTCATCAGCACCACTAACTGATTTAGATCCAGAGAGATTACGTTTCAAAACAGCAGGTTGTGCCACATCCTTAACTGCAGCGCGGGGTGAATTGTTCGAGATTTGAGGCTCCTTAACCTCATTGCTTTCAGTTTTCCATCTACGCTGCCTCTTTGTGGGCTCATTATTCAAAACTGCTTCTTGATCTGTATAACAGAGAACCATGTTGAGATATCATATTGAACACAAATACAAAGACTGGTGTAACAGAGCAACACAAATGAATCCCCTATCAATTATCACAACTCATATAACATGTTCTCGGTTTTAGAGATGACGACCAATACTTCAAGCTGTTGCAAACTTCAAGAAAATACAATCTTTTAATATTAAAGGAGCTCCACCCTGTGGTCTCCCAAAACTGGGGTGGGAATGTGGGATCTATCTGACTTACCTCTATCCAAAAAAAAAAAGGGGGGGGTAGGAACCCGCTTAATATACTTCTTCCATTCCTTTTTATTTAACACCTATGCTTTCTTGGGGAATTCCTTTTTAGTTGACACACTTTAGGTGAGCTTTGTAATGTTAAATGTCAAATCTGCCCTTCACTTTTCTCTCTCCTCCTCACAATCGACCCAAGCCTCTCTCCTCCATAAACCCCTCTCTCTCTCATAGTCATCACCACACACAAGTGACACAACACCTTAGTTTATTTCTCCTCCCTCACAACCACCACCATCCCATTTCCTCACACATACTTTGCCATCGGTGTTCTCTCTCCTCTCATTCCCGCCACCAACTTGCCTCCCCTCCATCGCCATCTTTCTTCTCTCCTCCCTCTCCTTTCATTCTCATCGCCTAATCACTGTATTCCTCTTCCAATGGCTGAGTAAAGCAAATTTTGATGCCACATCGCCGCATCTTATAGAGATCTAAAAATTGTAATATGTTGGTGTCAAAGAGAGATTAATCTAGGGTTTAATCCTTAACTGGGTTTTGATGTGGTTCAGTTCACTTCTTTGCAGAAGGTTGATGATGGGAAAAGGGCTGACGAAGGGGTCTAGTGGTTACTAATTGAAAGTGGTGGGATTGAGGAGTGGGGTGGTGGTGGTGGTGGTGATGGGCCAAGTGGCTGGTTCTTCAATCGTGAGGAAGGCTAGTTGAAAGGGGTAGGCACTAGGCAGGTTAGTTTGGATGGGCAAAATAGAAGGGGTATTTTTGCAATCTCTATCTCTCTCACCTCACCTCCTTATTTTGTGTGCCAAAACCAAACGAGTCAAAAAAAAAATAAAAAAATAAAAAATGAGAACAAAAGGCATAATAAATTGTTATCTATATAATGCCGATCAACAAGAGCACCAGGGGAGGTGGTGCAGAGGGACCCAAATGAATCTTGCTCCTTTTTATTCACACATCCTAAAAGATATCAGTGCCACTGCCACTTGTAGCTAAGCAATTCAATTTTCTGAATAACAACAGCAGCTGCATAATATTACATACCTCCATCTCTCTTCGCTATTATAGCTTAATCTACCCAACTTAATGCCATCACCCAAAAGTTCAGATACAGGAAACTCAGTTCTTACCATAACTCCAACCATTGGAAAAAACTAAACTATAAATAATAAAGATTGATGACGATTGAAGAAATTAAAATCTCTAGATATTTTGAAAATAAACAAATCTAAATTTGGATGCAGTAATGACCAATAAAGCAAAACATTATGGATGGTAAAGAGGATGCAGATCAGCACCTGTCATTGCTATAAAGGCAGCAATATATATATTGTTCATAGTGTAACAGTTGAATATCAAAATTTTACTAACACTAGAGAAATGAGAGCAAGGTTAATAAAACGAAGGATATACCATGACCAAATTCTCACCTGCAAGCTTTCTCTTGTCAGTTGAAGCAGCAGCAACAACATTATTTTCATAATCAGTACCTTTTTCTATAATAGGAACATCAATATCCATGGTTGCAATAGGCCTTTCTTCCTCAATAGTAGTGACCTCAATTTTCTCATTCTTTTCAACAACTTCTTCAAATTTATAATTTGAATCAATATGCTTACTTTCCAAAGCATCTTCTTCCATGGAATCATCACCTGAACTTCGATCTAAGTTTAATTTTTCAGAAGAACCCAAATCTGCACTATAAATTTTCTGGCTCACATCCGCATTTGTAACACTGTTATCTGTCTCTTGAACAGAAACCTTGTTTTCGTGTGGCTCCTCAACATCACTTGGATGTGAATTGCCACCGTCGGGGAATAAATCGCTTGATGATGGTTGCACCATCTCAGGCTTAACATCAGATTCTAATTTAACATTATCAGCAATTATGTTATCCTTTAGGTCATTCTTTTCATTAAAAGACACAGAATCAGTAGAAATAGAATTAGATTTTACGGGAAACCCTAAACTAGAGCTGACCTCAGATACCTGGTTGTTTGCATCAGAAGATTCCAGCTTCTCATCATCATGTAGTGGCTTTATATCCTCCGATTGCTCCTGCGCTCTTGAACCCTCATCAACCCTCTCGATATTACCATCTTGCGAACCCTTCCCGTCCACTGCTATATCAGATGACAAACTCTCACTAATCTCATTGCCTAAACCAACAGAAGGTACATCATTTGCAGCTAATGCACCCACCTCTGGAGGTTGATCGTTCCCTAGAACTACCACAGATTCCTGCTCTTCGATAATAACCTTGCCCTCGACTGGTTGTTCAATACTAACCTGTCCCTCAACTGGTTGTTCAATACTAACCTGGCTATTACCCTGAAGTGACACATCATCAAACTTTGTGATTTCGACATCAGCAACACCCACATTAACCTCAGCATTAACGGGAATGCCTAATCCTAATTCACCGATTACACTACCAGTTTGTTCAGTTACAGCGACTTGAGATACGTTATTTGGCTGTATATTCTGAGCACCATTGTCAGCCTCTTGTTTCTCAGCTTCCATTTCATTGCGCAGAGATTCATCCAACCGTCTCACTAGTTCTTCCTTCAAACCCCTGGTGGTCAGCTTTCGCCTTTTGAGTTCTTCCTTCAATTCCGTAACTTTCCATTGATCAATCGATCGGTTATCCAAAACAGGGAACCCCGACGAAGCCTTCATCTTCAAGCCTACCTTATAAGATAGACTATCTTTCAGAACAACAGCAAGACAACACTGATAAAAACAAAACCAATAACTTATCCACAATATAAACTACCCCTAACAAGATCAAACAATAATCAGTGCAAAATAATTAGACCAGTGACAAGTTCCCACATGCAAAACCCTAATTACAAAAACACGAAACCAAATAACAATTAACCGACATTGAAACCCTAAATCAAAAACCCCAGAAAAAATTGTCTATACACCAAATCAAAATTCCAGCACAATTCATTTTTATTTCCTCGAAATTAGATAACGGAGAGCAAAATGCGATTCCTTCCATAAATTTTATTCCAAAATAAATAAATAAAATAAAAATCCAAAATTGATAATCAATTCACGGAATTTGAGTTTTAGTCAACCAATTCGTAACAAAAATGTAAGCAAATGAAATACGAAAATTTAGGTTTTCTGGAAAAAAAAATTAAAAAAATAATAAGTAATTTGAGAAAAAGAAAAGAATCTAGAAAAATAGGAATTGGAGAAACGTACCAGAAAAAGGATGAATATAGGACGTCGAGAAAGGAAGAGCACCGATGCGGCGGTTGCGGTGACGGCGACGGCGGTTGTTGTTCGGCGGTTTCTGTTCGACGACGACAGCGGCGGCGACGGAGAGAGAAATGGTGAAGAGGATTGTAGAGAGAGAAAGTAAATGGAAATGGGAGAAAAGGGGAGGAGGGGTGTTGTGAAGGCTATCAAGATCCGAGAGATCGTGACCGTGAATTTCACACTCTATTTGGTCTTACTTCTTGTGTTTGGGAAAAAAAAAAAAAAGTAAAGGCCTAAAGGGGCAAAGGATAGGCAAAATAGGGTTTTCAGATTTTTGCGAATATTACGGAATTTTATAATTCGTTTTTTTTTTTTTTTAAGTTATTTCATTCGTCTTTTTTTAGTTGATTCGTCTCTTTTTAGTTGACACTTGACACGGTTCTTTTTTTTTTACAGAAACGGAGCTTAGCATTTTATTAAGTAAACAAATTAGCGAGATCATTACAAACCGCCTCTTGAATTTCAAGAGGGTACTCCTCTAACCAAATACGACTTTCATTAAAACTGCTACTAATATTTGCTAAGAATGTGATTTCGAGTTATTTTGGGAAGCTCTTCGCTACTGACTATCCGACCAACTTTGAGGCTGCCATCGAGGGTATTAGACCACTCGTGTCTGAAGAGATGAGGCTTGTGCTTGAGAGAGAACCTACGGGGGAGGAGATTAGAGCTACACTATTTCAAATGCATCCTAATAAAGCACCCGGGCCGGATGGAATGCATGCATTGTTTTTTCAGAAATTTTGGGGGACTGTGGGAAGCGATATTATTTGTTTTGTGAAGGAGTGGTGGAGGGGAGAAGTGGATCTTCATGAGGTAAACCGCACTTGTATTGTCTTGATTCCGAAATGCAATGACCTTATGAGAATAACTGAGTTTAGACCGATAAGTTTGTGTAATGTAATTTACAAAATTATTTCTAAAACTCTTGCTAATAAGATGAAACCGATGCTAGAGTCAGTCATTTCTGTGAATCAAAGTGCTTTTGTCCCTAATCGTCTGACTACGGATAATGCACTAATTGCTTTTGAGGTGTTTCATTATATGAAGAGGAGGGGGGAAGGGAAGAATGGTACGGTGGCTCTAAAGCTTGACATGAGTAAGGCGTATGATAGGGTGGAGTGGGGTTTTCTTGAGAGGGTGATGAAAAAAATGGGTTTCCCGACTTCTTGGATTGCTCGAATTATAAATTGCCTAATGAGTGTCTCTTTCTCATTTAAATATAATGGTAGCATTTTAGGCTCTCTTATTCCTACCCGGGGTTTATGTCAAGGTGACCCTATGTCTCCGTATCTCTTTTTAATATGTGCAGATGCTTTCTCTACGTTGTTATCCAAAGCAGCGGAGGAGAACCTTATTCATGGGGTACGTGTGTGTAGGGGGGCTCCGAGGGTTTCCCATCTCTTCTTTGCAGATAATAGTATTTTATTTGCTAGAGCTACATTGCAAGAATGCTCTAAAATTGCTGATATAATCAGTACTTATGAAAGGGCTTCCGGTCAGAGTGTCAGCCTAAGCAAGACAGAGGTAGCTTTTAGAAAATGTGTGTCTGCTAGTCGTAGATTGGAAATTGTTGCTATGTTGGGTGTTAGGGAGGTTGAGAGACATGAGAAGTATTTGGGTTTGCCTACCGTCATTGGAAGATCGAAGAAAGCGATTTTTGCCGGATTGAAGGAGCGTATTTGGAAGAAAATGCAAGGGTGGAAAGAGAAATTGTTGTCTAAGCCGGGTAAAGAAGTGCTTATCAAAGCGGTCGCTCAAGCAATTCCCACATATATGATGAGTATTTTTAGAATTCCGGATGGTTTGATCGACGAAATCCATTCAATTCTTGCAAAATTTTGGTGGGGGTCGAATGGGACGGAACGTAAAATGCATTGGCAGTCATGGGATTCCTTATGTCTTCCCAAAGCTATGGGTAGGATGCGGTTCCGGGATTTGAAGTGCTTCAATCAGGCGTTGTTAGCCAAACAGGCTTGGCGCTTGAGTAGGGGGTGCAACTCTCTACTTGGGGGAATTTTGAAAGCTAGATATTACAAGAATACGGAGTTTCTTGATGCGGCAAGGGGTTTTGATCCGAGCTACAGTTGGCGATCTATATGGGGTGCAAAGTCTTTATTGCTTGAGGGACTAAAGTAGCGTGTGGGGAATGGGTTGAACATCAGAGTTTGGGATGTTGGGCTGGATTCCTGGTCAAGGGGCTCACTTTGTTCCTAATCCAAATGCTAATAGTGATCTGAATATGAAAGTGGTTGACTTGGTGGACTTCGCTATTGGCAATTGGAATTTAGAGCTGCTCAACACTACTTTTACAAGGGAGGATGTACAATCTATCCTTAATGTTCCCCTGTCTGTTTTTGGACCGATGGACACGCAATATTGGTGGCCAACTTTGTCAGGTATGTACACTGTCAAGAGTGGGTATTGGTTGGGACACATGGGCAGGCTGCGAACTTGGGAACTTTTCCACGAGCAGAGTGATAAGGATGTATGGAAGGTGGTGTGGAATGTTCGTGGGCCTCCTAAGCTAAGTCATTTTCTTTGGAGAGCGTGCAAGAGTCAATTGGGTGTTATGGATGTGCTGTATAAACGTCACATTGCTGGGACAAGTATGTGCAATATTTGTGGCCATGGGGTGGAGTCAATTTTGCATTCACTTTTTGAATGTAAATACGCATCTATAATTTGGAGCACGAGTGATTTTGGTGACCTTCTAGTAAATGCTCCGCAATCCTCTTTTGCTGATAGACTTATGTGGATGAGCAATTCAATTGACAGTGAGTATTTGCGAGTGTTTGTTGCGTTGGCTTGGGCTGCTTGGCATTGTCGCAACACACATATATATGAAGGGGCTGCTGGCATAAATGCAACTATGGTGGCTGCAGGTTTTGTGAAGCTATGCGCTGATTATGTGGATAATAATCAGAAGATTAGGGGGGCTGCTGTGGTTTCTGCAACAATCTCTCCAACGTCTTGGTCCCCTCCTCCCTCAAATGCCGTAAAGATTAATGTGGATGCCCATATTATCAATGGAGGGGGAGTGCAATTTGGTGTGGTTATGCGTGATAGCAGGAAGGTTTTGGTGGCAGCAGCTGTGAAAAGAGTAGGGGCAAAATGGACCCCTAATCTTGCGGAAGCTGGAGCAGCACGCTATGGGGTGGAACTGGCTCGTAGGCTGGGGTATGTGGATGTCGTACTGGAAAGTGATGCTTTATATGTTGTGCGCGCGATTCAGAACAAGCAGCAAGGGGCATCTCCAATTTATCTTTTGTATGATGATATTAGGCAAATGTGTGAAAGCTTTAATTACTTCTCTTGCTCTCATGTTAAGCGAGCTGGAAATACCGTGGCTCATAAAGTTGCTAGATGGGACACGAGTATTTCCTCTGAGCGTGTTTGTTTAAACTCTTTTCCCCAAAGCCTTATTACTCTGGTGGAAATTGATTCTATATAATTTAATCACTCGCTTTGCCTAAAAAAAACGCTATGGGCTACAGCATTGCCGGAGCGTTTGACGAAAGAGAAGGAAGCAGAGCGACAGTCCCTCACCAGCCTTCTGATATCCCTTAGAACATTGCCAAACTCATTGGGTGAGGAAGTGCCTTTCTTCAAGTGATGGAAGAGTTTGATATTATCCGTTTCAAGCACAAGATCGTTGAAACCAGCTTCCCTTGCAAACAATAGGTTCTGTCTCATGGCAATCGCTTCCCCTACATCCACCTCGAAGGCACCGTGAAGGCACGAACAACAGGCCAACACCACGTCTCCTACAGCGTCCCGCGGAACACCACCAATACCAAGCACCTGCTGCCCAAATAAGCCAACATTTGTGTTGAGTTTGTACATCCCACTGGTAGGTGCTTTCCAAGTAGAATCGAACTGCGATCCCGGGGGTGAGATTGCAGCCTTCTCTAAAGCGGACAACATACTCCCCAACCATGCTAGCCGCCTTGTGGATAACTTCAATGACAAGTTTCAATTTTCTTTCAAACACCCACTTGTTTCGCCTATTCCAAACCCCCCAAGCTAGAGACCAAAATTGATCCCACCAAGCCGAGTCTTTAATCATATCCTTCATGACATTGCACCAATTCCTGAAACCACTTTCCACCATCATAGTTGTATCAAGTCTGAGCACAGAGTATTTCCAAATTGCATCGACAGACGAGCACTCAAAAAATAGATGCACCAAATTTTCCTCCGATTTACCACACATTGGACATCTGACATCAATCTTCATACCTGTTCCCGCAAGAACAGCCCTCACAGGTAGTCTTTCTTGGACACATCTCCACGCAAAGATTTTGATTTTTGGGGGAATAAGAGAGTGCCAAATTGATTTCCAATTGAAATTCTTCTGCCTACCCGAACCAGATGCTCTAGATCTTTCTTCCTCTTCTATCAACATGTTGTATGCACTTTTAACATTATAACATCCATCTTTCGACACATGCCAAGACCACCCATCCTTATCATCAAACAAGGGAATAGGAATGCTGCAAATTTCCTTCACTTCCCGCTGAGAAAACATTTCATTTAAGATGTTCACATTCCACTTCCTGTCGTCCCACAACTCTTGAACCAATACAGGAACATCAGCCCCCTCACCCTTAGGAGTCAAAACACGAAAAGCAGGAAGGTTAGGTACCCACGGGTCTTCCCAAATGTTAATTGTATTACCCATACCAATGACTTTCCTTGCTCCTTTTTCAATGACAACCCTCACTCCCAATATAGACCTCCATGTGAAACTCGAGTTTGATGCTAATTTTGCCTTAAAATTATTGGTCGAGGGAAAATATTTGCCCTTTAACACACGAGACATAAGAGATTTTTCGTTTGTCACCAATCTCTAAGCTTGCTTGGCTAGCATTGCTTTGTTAAAGAGTTGCATATTCCGAAATCCCAACCCACCATTATTTTTTGCCCGATACAACTTATTCCAAGCCACCCAACATATTTTCCTTTCATCGCCCTTTTGACCCCAAAAAAAATTCCGACACATTTTTTCCACCACAAGTAAAATGCTACTCAGGATTTGGAAACATTGCATCGCATATGTGGGGATATCTTGGGCCACCGACTTAATAAGAATTTCCCGACCTGCCTGAGATAAGAAATTCCCTTTCCAACCTTTGAGCTTTTTCCATACTCTATCTTGGATACTTAGAAATACGGCTTTTTTAGACCCCCCAATATACATTGGAAGACCTAAATACTTTTTTGTCCTTCGACAGCCTTAAAAGATAACTTCATCTGAAGCAAATTTTTCTTTTCTTGATCAACATTTCGGCTAAAAGACACCTCCGATTTCTCCATATTCAGTTTCTGACCCGACGTTATCTCATAAATTGCAAGAATATCCAGAACTTTATCAGTTTCATCCTCATTTGCCCGAACAAAAAAGAGACTATCATCTGCAAAAAATAGGTGAGAAATGGGCTCAACATGTCTTCCGATCTTAACTCCATGGATGATCTTCTTTTTCTCAGCATCTCGCAGAAGAGCAGAAAAACCCTCCGCACACATAATGAACAGAAAAGGGGATAGAGGATCACCCTGGCGAAGCCCCCTACTTGGTCTGAATTCCCGAGACGGTTGACCATTCACCAAAACATCGAAAGAGGCAGTAGTCACACAATTCATGATATTCATCACAAATCTCTCCGGGAAACCAAATTTTTTCATCATTTTTTCTAGAAACACCCACTCAACTCTGTCATATGCCTTGCTCATATCTAACTTTAATCCAAGATAGCCCTGTTTGCCCGTCTTTTTCTTCCGCAGATAGTGAAAACATTCATAAGCCACTAATATATTATCAGTGATTAATCGCCCCGGGACAAAGCCACTTTTATTCTCACTGATAATAGTAGGAAACTTTTTTGAGCCTATTTTCCAAAACCTTCGACACAACTTTATACAAAACATTACATAAACTAATAGGTCTATAATCAACAGGAGACTCACACTCTTTTTTTTTTTTCGGGATTAGAACAATGTGAGTCTGATTAATAGCACCTACATCACCTACATTATTCAAAATATGCAAGACTTTTTCCACCACATCACAACCAACAATATTCCAGAATTTTTGGAAAAAAATTGCAGACATACCATCGGGGCCGGGAGCTTTTGTTGGGTGCATTTGAAAGAGAGCTTCACGAACTTCCTCACCCGTAAAAGGTTCTGCTAAATCAGAGAATTGCGTTTCTGAAATTACAGAATCCACTGTATCAACTACATTTTTTGCTTCCACATGGCCACCGGACGAGAATAATTCGGCAAAGTGATTAACAAAGACCTCCGAGATTTGCTCTTCTTCTTCGTAAACATTCCCAGCAGCATCTCTGATTTCTTTTATATGATTTCTCGCCTTTCTTTGATTGGCTTTTTGGTGAAAAAAAAGATGAGTTTTTGTCACCATTTAAGAGCCAATCTTGTCTGCTTCTCTGTCTCCAGTACAACTCTTCTCTATTTTCAAGTTCATCCATCCTGTCATCCAAGGCTCGCATTTGAGAAATAACCTCGTCGGTTTGATTTCCCCCCATTAAAGTTTCCATACGGGCTTTGCAATCCTTTAGCTCTGTGAAAAAATCACCAAATTTATTACGACTCCATGCGCTCAAATTTATCGAGGTGTGTGCAATTTTTGAGCAAATGTCACCTTCTTGACTCCAAGTATTTGCAACAATGTCTCCACATGATTCATCCCTAAGCCACATTTCCTCGAACCGGTATAACTTCCTCTTTTTTTTCTTCTTCTGTTTACCAATATCCTCACTAATACACAAGAGAAGGGGTAAGTGGTCTGACTTGCGTTTCGACAGGTGGGAAACAAAAGAAGCACTGAACAACTCCTTCCATTCTTTGTTTGCAAGAAAACGATCAATTCTCTCCTGGACATTCTTATCTCCCCCTCTATTGTTGGTCCAAGTGTAATTATGACCAACGAACCCCATATCTTCGAGCTCACATAAGTCTACAGTTCTTCTTAAAATTTCAGCCTCTGCCATGTTAAAATCTCTCCCTCCCTTTTTTTCATCTGAAGTGAGCATAAGGTTGAGATCACCACCACATAACCACAGCCCCCTATGATTGTGGTGTAAATTCTCAAGTAACAAGCCAGTCTTATATTTGTTTTCCTCCTCTGGGAACCCGTACAGCCCTGTGAACCTCCATTTTCCTTTCTTTGCCAATTTCACCCATGCATCAATATGATTAAGGGAATATGACTTTATTTCCACATCAACCCCGTCCTTCCACATCAACACCAAACCTCCACTTCTCTTCCTCCCATACCCTTCATAGTCCACTGCTATCATATTGCTAAACTTGATCTTTTGCTTTATCTTCTCAATCTCATGTCTTTTTAATATAGTCTCACTGAGAAAAATAATTTGGGGTTTTTCAAGAATAATTACATTTTTAAGAGCCGTTACCGCCGAGGCATTCCCCAAACCTCGACAATTCCATGATAGGATGTAATTCATTGGCCACCAAGAGCCCAAGATGTGGGGCCCGCCACGTTTTGAGAAGAAGCAACTGTTTTGCATTTCTTGTTCGGTTCATCCATATCATCATTGTCAACCATCATATCCTCATCATTCCCTTCCATCTCAAAATCATCACAACTTCCTGACAATTTCATTCCTCCTCAACCTTCTTTTTTCCTATCCCTCAAAATCATCACTTTCCTCAAGGATCTCCCAGGAGAACCTACCAATCCCCCCTTCTCTACCTTATTATTAATAATTTGCCCCTCCTTACCAGATACAACCCCCTCATTACACTCACCCATATCATTGCAACCTTCCTCACCTTTCCCAACTGTTTGATACTCTCCTTCACCGCCACTTCCCTTATTGTTCTCACTTATTTTTTTCCCTCTCCCATACTATCCTCCTTCCCCTGTCCTGCTTCTCCCACTGCTCCGAATTCCCTATCCTCCCTCTCTGCTTTCCCCATTGTTCTCAGAACAAAATTCATGCTTCCTTCCCCCTTCACAACCCTTAATTCAGCTTCCCTTTTTCTCACTGGGCTCTTTGGGATATCAGGTTTATGATGGGCCATTGTTGGAGAAAAAACAAGCTTCCTCGCTGCACCAACTGGTCCCAATTTGATGACATTAGGATCGTTGTATGAGGGAGCCTTCTTACTGCCTGCCGACTGTCTAAGCTTTTCAATCCAAGCTCTTTCAAACTCCCTCTCTGCCATATCTATCCTGGTTTTCTTTTTTGGAGAGGCACGTAGCCATGGTCCGTATTGATAAACCATCATAGGTTCGCTCCCTTTTGCTTGTTCTTTATGTTGACACTCCTTTTCTGTATGATCAAGCCTTCCACAGAAAAAACAAAAATCGGCCAATCTTTCGTATTTTACATCAATCCATCGAGACGAATTTTGGTCAGTTGCTAGGAACAATCCCCTTCGTAAAGGCTTATTTATATCCACCAAAACCTTAATCCGCATACTTTCACTCCATCCTAGAGGATCCGATTCATCTAGTTCTATAAATTCACCAATGTCATACATAACTGATATTGATCGTTTATTCAGAGGTACATCCATCAGGCGTACCCACATTGGAGTATTTTTAAAGCAGATTTCAGAAGGTTGTTCTTCGCCATACACTTCCTGTAATAAGAGCAATTTCTCATCGAAAAACCAAGGTCTGCCTTCCAGAACACGAGCTTTGTCTTCCTCGCAAAAGAATTGAAAGGCGAAAAGATTTGTCTCCACTACCCTAACTGCGAACTTCTCTTTCAACCTCCAAACATTCATTAAAGTGCGCTTCATTGCTTCCAGATTATACGGTTTAACAGTCCACAATTTCCCCATTAAAGTAAGGTTCAATTGCGCTTTGGTATCCTCTGTCACCGTCTCGATATATTCACCTCCTAACACTACCCCTTCATCCTCTGTCAATCGTAACTTCTCCCAGTCTTTCACAAGGTCATCCTCCATCATCGAATTAGGCAGAAGCACTGAAAGCAGGATCAAATTTGCGACAAAATTATTGAATTTTTGTTGTTTTTTGGAACTCACTCGCAAACCCTAGAACGGGACTAACTCACCCAAACGAGGGATTTTGTTTTCCGACACGGTTCTTTAGTTATGCACAAATTCAATCGTATATTTTTTTTTTGACACAATTTATATCTTTAATTACCGATAAGTAAAAATTATAAAAAGATTAAACTTTGAAAATATATACTATAACAAATCTAACAAGACCCACATGATTATATCTTTCATTATATCTTTCTTTAGGTATAAATTACACAACATGATAAAGTGTGTGAATATTAATAAAGTCAAAACGTGTCAACTAAAAATACGAAAGTAGTATTACAAACACAATAATGCATTTATGGTTTTTTTCACTTTATTTTTTATTTTTTTATATATTTTTTATACTTATTGATATCAACTTTGTACGGAGTATATGATTAAGATAAAACCAAAGTGTATTAACATGTGTGTTAAGTTTAGTTGTATCATATTGTCAACAACAAAAAAAATTACAAAAATAAAAATAAAAATAATTGTATCAATTAAACAACACGGTCGTGTTTTAATAGGTGTAAACTGGGGAAGGGGTGGTTGTAAACAGTGGCGGATTTTGGGCGAAAAAGTTAGGGAGGCCAAGGTTTGATCCCCTCACCTCTTGTTCAAAAATATCAATATTTAACTAGTATGTCATAACTTTTTATATGCAATAAATAGACATTAAGTTACTTATAATGAACAATTCAAAAATACTTAAGGGGGACAGGCCCTTACCGGCCCAAACAAAGGTCCACCCCTGGTTATAAGGGATGTCGAAGGACAACTGGTAGCGGAAACGTTCTTCATGTTGTGGAGATGGTGGATAGTGGAATAACTCTTATTCACTTATGGGTCGTTTGGTTCATTAAGCTGGAATTGATAGGTGTGGACTCTTATACTTAGGTGGTATGAATTCTATATCTCATACCAATCTAAAGTTGTTTGATTTAACCATTGAATGGATTCTCATACTTGAGAGGTGGTATGGATTGTGAATCCTTGAGGGGAGGTGGGTTTGAGATTCTAAGGGAATGGGTGAAGTTAGAATCATCCAGATATGATATTCCATACTTGAATAGCTTAGCCAAATAAATAAAATTAATTCCAACACATTCGAAGAAGTTAAACCAAATAGCCCCTTAGTTTATGTATTAGAAATGCTAGCATACTGTTTAAAGTAGCTCATGTATGTACTTTAGCTCATATTAAAACATCATGTAATATGGTCACTCACCTAGTGGCAAGGTGGGATACTATTTGTAATTCCGAGCTTGTTCATATAGGTTATTTCCCTCAAAGCATTATTTCTTTCACAGACTTGGATCTCAATTAATTACATAACATGGCTATCTTTATTTTTTTTTAAAAAAGAAATATAACTTCATTATTATTTCACTGCACTCAAATTGTTAACCACACACTACTTCAAACGCTACCATTAAATAGGATCATAGTGTTTTTGTTGTACTCCCTTGATATTTAATGTATACCAATGTAAAGTTTTAACGGATAATATTTTTAATTATCAATAAGTAAAAAAATAAAAATATAACAATTGAATATTAATAAACTATTTATTGAGATGATTCCAACAAGTACCTTGTAATCACAAGATTGTATATATTGTTATGAATAATTATATAATGGCAAAAGCTAACGAATGTCTTAGGGGCGTTGGATAAGATAACTAAAAGTATAAATATTGACTAAAATGAATATTAATTACATCGATCGACGCGTAAATTTGACATGCATTCCTAAATTACTACCACTTTAGAAATTATTTTAAATGCTTATGTAACGCCGTCAACAAATTTGTTAGTCAAAGTGAATCCGTATACCAAATGAATAATGCAAAAAATCAAAACGTTTAGTAATTTCATATTTAGGAAAAAAAGGGGAATTGAAGTATTGAGCAGAATCACTTAGGCCCTGTTCTCTTCACCGTAAAAAAATAATATTAACTAAAAATAATTTCAGTTCAGTAAAAATAAGTTCAATTTAGTAAAATTAATTTCAGTTCAGTAAAAATAAGTTCAGTTTAGTAAAATTCAGTTTTCTTAAAGAAGAATTATAATAGAAAATCAGTAAAAATAATTTCAGTTCAGTAAAATTAAGTTCAGTTCAGTAAAAATAAGTTCAGTTCAGTAAAGATAATTTCAGTTCAGCAAAATTAAGGTGAATCAAACAGGGGCTTACAACTTGTTCTCTTCATATTATTTTCACTTCAATTCAATTCTTAATTTCCTTCTTTTATAAAATATTCCGTTTAATCTATATCTATATCTATCTATACTTAGTATTTAAAAACACAAACCATAATTTTTCATATGACACATGTCATCACAAGTCACTCCCTACCACATATGACACATGTCATCCCTTTTAATCTTTTTGTTTAAGTCTTTATACATTCCATAACTTGCAAATTCAATTAAGAAAATGAAGTGTTTCATTTCCATCATAATAAAATAAAGTTGAACCAATTAATATACATTACATAAACATATGAATTGAATTATATTAAAATTGTCTTTTCAACTAACAGACTTAAAATATAACTTAAACCAATATGTCATTTCATATCTTATAATCTTCATGTATATATATGTAACTAAATTCTTTTATCTTTTTTCCCATTTCTACCCTCATTCTTTTTTTCCATTTAAGTTTTAGCAATGAAACAATTACTTCGTATTTCATATCAAAAGTTTCAACTATTGAAAAACGTACCTACATATGAAATAACCTAAATATGAACCCGTGCATCGAACGGGCCAAAAGACTAGTTCAGTTCAATTAACGGCCCCTGAATTTTTCTCACATTCCCACAAAAAAAAAAAAAAAAAAAAAAAAACGGAAGTGCTACCCTTCCATCAGCAAGCTAAAAAGCTTTTCAGTTTCGAGTCTTCTCGCGTACAAGGTTCTTCCAATTTGAGTCCCCAAAGATAATCTGTGAAGATCGCTCAGTGATTTGAATTTTTCAAATCCCCAAAATTTAGGGTTCTTATATGTGTTAACTTGTTACCTTTGATAATGTTGCGAAGGTATGATTGAAATTTTGGTGTTTTTCTTCTCTTTTGTATTTCAATCTTAGTCTCTAATATCAATTAGCTTTCATTTTATTAAGTAAGGCTCTATTAACTTAAATTCGCCCAATTTTATTTCACTATCTTCGAATTTTGTGTTGTTTTTGATGTTATTTCTTTGTGAAATTGTGTTGAAGGGTCTTGCATTTTTAAGCAATTTCTAGTTGATGCATATGATTTTGACTATCAATGTCGATTTTAGTTGAAGATTGTGTGTTTGCAGGTCTGCTTTGGCTCTTTCGCGTCGTCGATCGTTCATTGGGAGAGTATCAAGGCAGTCTTCAACTCCTCAGGCAAGTCTATAATTTTTGCCAAGCTGTTTGCATTTGGGTTAGCAATGTTGAATATCTTGGATTAGTGCAGGTTTTACTCCCTTTGTTCTGTAATGTATAGAATTTAAGGCTGGAAGTACAATGTACTCGTAATGAGGAGCAGTTAATTATGGATTTATTAATTCTGAAATGACAAGTTCTATTGGTTGGAACAGCCGCTTTGAATCGTTGCATTCGGGTAATTCGATGGTAATAGGGGAATATAAGGGTGGGAACCAGGAATTAAGGGGTGTTAGCAATTGGGAAGGATCAAACCTTAGATTTTCTTATATGGGTTTATATAATGGAATAGAGGGAAATAGGGAATTGATAAAAGGGTATTTGTTTTGTTTAAATTGATACTATCTTGTTATTACAAGTCATTTTGGCCATGGGCAAGCCCTGGATTGGTTGGTTCAAAGTATTGGATGTCCAATGTAGGTATATGGCGTATCTGTTGTGTTCCTTTTAATGGCAAAGCTACAAGTATAAGAGAGGAGGGGTTGGGGGTGGAAGGTGGATGGGTAGAGAAGTTTTTGTTTGCAATTGATGATGGTGATGATTAATCAGTTAAAGGATGGAAGATAATTTGTTTTTGCTTGTATAGTTTAAAATTTAAGGCTTAATTCATTTTATTTGGAGTTGATTTGTGCATTGTTTAGGGTGTAAAGGGGGAAAGGGAAGGTGGACTCATGACATTTGTGGTTTGTGCTATTATATATTTGGTATAGATTTCTATTTATACATTGCTCTTACATAAATAAATGGTATACTCGTCAAAATATCATATGTAGTAAATCAAAAGGCATTATATGCCCCTTATAACATATGATTTGTATCAATATGGGTATGCCATAGCTGTACCATGTTGGCTTGTATTGCTTTTTATGTAATTGACTTGTATTATTTGAATGTGCTTAGTCATTCCTGTTGGATAGTGAAACATAGTGACTGAACTCTTTGAATTTTCTGACTTTGAGCAGATACATTCATCTGTATACCCTAGGAGGGAATTTTCCTCTATTCCTCAGCAAAATGCATCTCCGGGTCCTAGCTCAAAAACCAAGCCAATTGGACTTTTTATCGGAAGTGTTGCCTTTGGTGCGTGCTTCTATGCAGCTTATTCCAGAGGATATATTAATGTTTTATTAGGCCAGAAGGAGCAGAATTCTGATCTATTGAAGGTTGACAATGGGAAGTCACCAAAAGGTGATGAAGGCCTTGATTTCCAAAACAATAAAGATGCTACACCTGTACATACCAGCAAAGACTCTGAAATTCTCAATCATCATGTGAATGATGAGACTGAAAGACAGTCCACCATGGACCCTATTGGAGATTCTGGCAAATTTGAAGGTGAAAATGATTCAATTGTCAAAGATTTATCAGAATTGGCCAATGAAGCATTTACTCATGCCAAGGAGGAAGATTTGCCAAAACATTCTGGTGATGAAATTGCAAAAGGAGAACAATTGTCGAAATCTTCTCTGGAGGAAACAGCAAAGGATGAATATTCAAGCTCTCAAAAACCTTTTGCAGATAGTGCAGACATGAATTCTTCAGGGGAGAAATCTCACTTTGAGCAGCATGAGACCGATGTAGACCGGCCGACGATTACTAATGTCGATGCTGTTCTCCAAGGAAACAATACGGATAAAGACGACATAACAGAGCTCAAACCACAAAATGAACCTAAGGTATGTTCTTGTTTCATAATTAGTCTTAACTCTCTTGTGCTTGAATCCATGCTTTGTAGGACTCCAGCAGTCCACGTAGGTTGTTGATGATGTATCTTGTTACAATTAAATGTGTTGAAAATTTGTTATGTACTTATGTGTATGTGCTCATTCATCCTTATGCTGTTCTTTTTCATCATTCCTTCCCTGTTAAGATTTTATAGGACGAAAGATTTTTCTCAAAATTTAGTCACATATAAAGAAATGTATCCTGGAAATATATTCATATATATGAAGGAAAAGTCTCTAGCCTTTTGTTGTTGTTGTTGTTGGTTTTTATTTTTAAATTTTTTTTTTTAAAAAAATATTTGTTCCTGTAAGTTGAAGTCATCCTTTCCAGGTGGAGTCATCATCATCCCTTTTAGATACATATCATCTGGAAGACAAGGTTGATGATGGAGCTTCAACCACAAGTGGGCATGCCAGTAATAATTCGTCTCCTTTGGAAGAGGTATACATATTGGATACATCTTAATTTAGCTCTATTATTATTGTGTATGATTTATGTGAACATTTATGGTGTTTCAATGCTTGTTCTGTTTCTAATTACTTGGGCTCTTGTGATTCAAGACTTCATCCAGTGCATTAGGAGATTCAGAAGATGCTTATGTATCTAAGGACGGAAAGCTGATTTTGGATTTCCTGCAAGCCATCCATGCAGCTGAACAAAGGCAAGCTGAGCTGGATGCACGTGTCTTTGCAGAAGAAAAGAGGACAATGAAGGTGATATCTCTCATAAAATTCATATAACAGAGCTCTTATACTTGGATTAAGATGTTAATAGTGCTGATCACCTGTTCAGTCAAGTGTTGATAATTCTACTCTATTTCTTTTGGCAAGATAAAGTTAATTCTGTTAACTATTGCTACATTTGTCCTGATTATGGTTTTCATTATTTTCATGGAAAATGTAGGACAAATATGAAAAAGAGCTGAAGGATGCAAGGGCGAGGGAACTCATGTATGCTGAAGAAGCAGCTATGTTAGAAAAGGTTATTATGATTTCTATTTTAGGCTTGTATTATATGGCTGTTCTGTTCTTATTTTGCAATTGCTTTGCACTAGACAGAGCGTGTGTTTCTATTTTATGCTCAGCTGTTACTGTTAATTAATAAATGTGTTACTGCTGTGTGCTGTAGCCTTAGGGCCTTCTGTTTAGGACCTTTATTCACAAAAAAAAAAAAAAAAAGGTAAGTACAACCACTGTATTTATTGACGTGTTGGTGATGAATATTGCCTGAAAAGTAATAATTAGGAATTTATTTGTGCGCTCTGTTTGGCCTCTTTATTATGTCCACTTTGTATTACTGATTGTAATGTTGTTTAAATAATAATTTGGATCTTTTCTTGCTGTCTGTCTTACCCTTGATGTAATCATTGACTTGTAGGAGGTAAATAAAGAAAAAGCTAAAGCTGCTGCAGCCCTAAAGTCACTTCAGGAAAGGGCTGAAGAGAGGTTAAAGATGGAACTTGAAGAAAAGGTGCAATATTTAATCTTCTACTGCGTTTCATTGCAATGAAGCAATTGTCAATTTCTATATCCGGATAATTATCTTGTGCATTGCAGGAAAGAGAAGCAGAGTTAAAACAGAAAGAAATCAAGGATCTCGCCAAAGCTGAACTAGCTGCATCAATTGCTCTAGAAAAGGCAGCGCAGATTGAGAAGATGGCTGAAGCAAATTTAAATGTATGTAAGCGGCTTTTTGCTGCTATATATTCTGTAAATTTATTGAAACATGAAGATGTTTTATGGTTCAGATTCAATGATGCTGATAGGTGTGCACAAAAAGTATGTCAGATGCAATTTTTGATAACTGATACAGAGCATATTTTAAGCTAGTTTCTCAGTATGCTTTTGATTTAACTAACTGTTTTGAGCACTCCTGACAGTACTTGGCATGGATCAAAACCAACATACTATGTAATTAATTTGATAGACAATTTAATTACTCCTGAAAAAATGGAAGTGGTTCTTGAGTCCTATAAATAATTTTTTGACCCAGTTCCTTCTTGCTCGGGAAAGGGAAGATCTATTAGATTCTGTATTTTTTTTAGTTGTAGATCTGCATCTTTAGAAGACTAAGTTATCCTGGACTTCTAAATAATGGTGTTTATTACCATATTAATGTATTGGAGAGTGGAGACTCCAAGAAAGTCCTATTTTGGCAGTTTAAAATTGTAAAATAGGCTTCGGAAACTCTTTTGTTAAGTTGTTAGTTTGTTACTGACGTGCATGTTGATGTATTTTGTGTATGTAGTAATTTCTGTACTAATTGGAAGCACTTCTCAAATGTGTATGTTCTCCTGCTAGTATCTACTTCGTGTTGCAATTGATTATAGCTTCTTAAGACAAGGGTATTTGTAACTGGTAACCTTACTTTTGCAGATAAATGCCCTGTGCATGGCATTCTATGCAGGATCTGAAGAGGCTCGTCAAACTCATTCCATGCACAAGCTTGCTTTGGTAATGTGCTTGATTCCACTTCTTTTTTTTTTCTCCTCTTATTGTTTCCATCTCCTGGTAGTGGAGAAAAGAATTCAGCATATATATCGTTCACGTGCTGCTTGATGAGAAAATTATATGCTCTACTGGCCCTTGATCTATGTACTCTGTCATGTTCAGGGTGCACTTGCATTGGAAGATGCACTATCAAATGGGCTACCAGTTCAGTCAGAATTAGATGCATTGCATGTGTGTGTAGATAATGTTGATAAGGACCCATTATTGCAGTTGGCCCTATCATCTATTCCTGAAGATGTTCGCCTTCATGGCACCGATACTATTCTACAATTAAATCGGAAGGTAACTTTCACTGTGTGTTTGGTTAATACATTGAGGGGGTGGGGGGGGGGGGGGGGGGGGGGGAGGGGGCAGAAGTAGAGGAAGAGGAGGTGGAGAGGAAAGGGGGAGAGTGCTTCTCTCCCATATTTTTATTTCTTTTTTTTTTCTTTTTTTTTTACAAGCTCCCATATTTTAATTTCAACATTGGAAGGATTTGGTTTATTTTATACAGAAAGAAAATGGCTCCCTCTGTTCCTCTTCACTTTTTATTTTATTTTATTTGTTATTTGTTATTTTTTTTATTTAAAAACAATCTAAAATGGATATCCCTTCTCTTCCTCTCTACAATATCTTTTTTTGAACAGTAAGACTCAACTTTTGGATCTGTTTGCATATCACCGAGGTCTGGGGAGAGTTTCAATGCCATGTGCTTCCCTCCCTATTTTTCTTTCGATGTTAGCATGTCCATTTCTCTTCTTACTTTATTTTTCATTTGTATATATATGCAGTTTGATGACTTGAAAGGGACATTGCGGCACTTCAGCTTAATTCCACCAGATGGTGGTGGTATTTTGGCACACTCATTGGCTCATGTAGCATCCTTTTTGAAGGTGTCAATCCTAACATTAAACATTATGCTGGCCGATACTTCCCACAAGAAGGGATGATAAAAAAATAGAAAAGAAAAAATTATGAGCAGAAGCATTTTGCTATGACATTACTCTTTTTTCACTAGTGTACCTCACATCATTTTAATTTTTATCATTAATTTTCAGGTCAAGGAAGCTGATCAATCTGGGGATGGTATTGAGTCTGTTTTAAATAAAGCTGAGAGCCTACTAGCCCAAGGGAAGCTCGCAGAGGCAGCTGATGTGCTTGAAGATGGTGTCAAAGGCAGCAAAGCCTCTGAAGTTGTAGGTGACTGGTTGAGAAGAGCTAGAAACAGAGCCATTGCTGACCAAGCATTGGTTCTCATTCAGTCTTATGCTGCTTCTATCAGCCTTACGTGAAGTTGTCCTCACTCCTCACCAACCCTGAAGACTCACTGAAATAGTGAGTCATTTGTAGAAGACAGTGTTTGATCATGATTTCTTTCATTTATGAGAAAATAACAAAATAGAACAATTATACTTTACACAGGTACTGTATAAGGCTGCAAAGAGTTTTGTGTAGACTCACTGAAATTCTTGTGTATCATGACAGTGTAACCAACATGTAATCAGCGCTGCTGGTTGCGATTCAAGAAAAGGGAAAAGAATGAAGTTTTGATTCTTATCAGTATTATTCCCTCCTTTTGGTTGTTAGTTCTGTTTATTTTGTTTAGTATGAAAGAACAATGTTTCAGGTAGTTGTATTCTTGCTGTCAACTATAGCATCATCACAGAGGCGACTGAGACTGAGTGACATGATGAGATGGGATAACTTGTATGGTGAAGTATAGCTTTCTTTGTTCTGGTGAGTGACATTGACAGGCGACTCAGTCCATGAGTATTAGTTGAATGCTTACATACTGTTTTTGACCGAAATTAACAATGCAGTATTAGTTGTGAGCTTATGACTGCCAGTGTTGATATTTGATAAATTGCTTGCCATGCTTGGTATTTTAGGGACCTGAATGGTTTTCATTGTCGCTCCGAGTTTTGGGTTTTCAGTTTTGTTAGGGAAACCAGTGGTAACTTTTCATGAATTTTTCTGGCTGTAATTTCCTATATTTAAGAGGGTTTGTACTTACCATGAAGCAAAAATGATTAGGCTGGAAATCGTTGATAATGAGAATTAACAATGTTATAATACTTAGATTAATGAATTGTTTAACGTGGTTGATTATTATTAAACAAAGGTCTCAATGATTAAGCTGAAGAAGCATGATTAGCACGTGAAATAGTGCAGTTGACAACTTTAAGTTGGCTGGAACACTATTATGTCAATTATGGTAGCGGTCTAGCGGACAAAATTGTTGGAAACCATATTGATTTTGTTTGTCATTAGCTAAACTTGAATGGTGGCAAATCAACTTCATTTGCAAGTAATTACTAGTAAGTTGTTATACTACTGTACTATGAAATAAAAATCATTTAATTAGATTTTGTTTTGCAATTGGAATGTAGCAACTCATTCTACAATAATGACTATTGATTACCCACGAAGGAATAAAAACGACTTGTGATTGAACTTTGTATTTTCAATTACATTAACGGCTCATCATTATAGGACGGAGGGGATATGAGGTATTCGTAACATTTAAGCCATCATCAAGTTTACTTAATAACTACAATATGAAAAAATGGACATGTATACACTAGATGTCTAGTACAGTAATAAACTTTTATTTTTGGAATTAAAGCAAAACAGTATGAACTTCAACAAAATTATGACTAATAAGACTCCTTTACTACAATCACTTGCAACATATAATAACTCACCTTTATGCTTTATCCTGAGGAATATGTGAAATATTCATACAATAATATTCATTACAGTACTATTTATACAAATCACAATTAGTAAACTTTTGTAATTCACAAGACAATAAACAATCATATCAAATCTTCTTTTTTTGTGTGTCCAACTACCTTTTATAATATTTAGACAAAGAAGTTTTTAACCCATAATCTTCTCTAAAGTGGTAAAATATTTTAGAAGCCGATTAGTAATTACTTGTAAGTGATTCGACATTAAATTTTATTTAATACGAGTATAAAACAAAATTGGCAAAATTATACAAGTAATCATAGAAAAAATAATTATAATTGCAGACATTCGGATGGTGTCGGTGGCGTTTCTGTAAAACTGAAAGCTCAAGCTTCTCTGTCAGTAGTCTTTTCTCCCACTCGTATGCATGTGTGTTTCTTCAACTACACCCCCCCTTGAAACTTTTTAATTTAACTACAATTAATTTTCTCTAATTTCAGATTCTCTCTTTCTCTCTCTTCTTTTTTCCCCCTCTTTCTCTCTCTAAAACCTCTACTAATTTGGTTTCTCTTGTTTGTTACGCAACAAAGTTTTCATTATTACTACTTCTAGTGGATGCTTCATTTTGCTACTTCCTCATTTTCTCACTCTCTCTCCAGGTTTTTACTCTTCTGCATTCAATTCATTTCAATTCCTTGTAATTTCTTCTGATCTGCTTATTTTTACTCAATTTGTGTTTGATTTTGTTTGTTTGATTATGCTTGTATTGATTTTGATTTTGTTACTGCATTTTTGCATAATTCAATGATTTAAGTTCGATTTTAGTGATGAACTTGCATGATTTTGAAGCGAAATGCGGCTCAATTTACTCGATCTACTCGCTTTTGATTCAGATTTGGATTAGTTCGTTTGATTTTCTATTGAATTTTGCTTCGTTTTATTGATTTTGGTTTGATTTGTGATTTTTTTGTTTAATTTGATTGGCGAAGTAGTGGAAATACCTAAAAATTAATGTGAATGAATAGGATCTGGAATTGATACTGTTTGAGTGATGATGATGTTACTGGAGTTTACTTACTGAATTATTTTATGTTGCTGGACTTTACAGGATGCTTCTAGATTAGACGCAGATTCTGCATCTGGAGAGAGACAGCTGAAGCTAATATCTGCATCTCTGTGATTTATTTTAAAGCCTGTCAAGCTGGCGGCCGCGACTGCTTGGAGGTTTGCTGGCAACAATGGCAATGGCCATGCTGCCAATGATCTGGTAATGCTCCAACTGTATTTGTAGTTTGGACTGAAATGCTGGTGTCAGTGAAATTAAGAAGTTTGTTTGCAGATCTGTTATGACTTCTAGTTTGTTATGTATGGGCACACTATTAAGTCCATTGTGGCACTTGTCAGTGTTGTGAACTCTCACTTTTTCGTGGCTGTTTTTTGTGGCTGCATTACTGGTTTGCATAATTTGATTTCTAGCAACAAGGATTATGGTTCGATTTACACCATCTTTAATTTGATTGGAGCCTTTTGTTCTTGTGTAACATTAACAATTATGCTTTGATGTGCTGGCGGTTGTTATACTACATCAAGTTAGTTATTGATCTTGCCTGCATATACCTTTTATTATCGAGGCACACTAGATTTCTGATTTTCACAATTTTGTTTCTGACATACGTGATTCAGGTTCTTTAAATGGAGTTTTGGACAGAATAATTGGTCTTATGATTTGGGTACACCTGTATAGGAGTGTAATATTGTAAGAATGATATAATCCTGAAATTCGGTTTCTGCTGACGTTGATAATGAAGAAATAGTTGATGTAGTAGTAATTGTATTTTTGAAAGTTACTACTTCAAGCTAGGACTGTTTGATATAATATCAACTCATGACAGATGCCATAGTGGGATATATGATCTTGAGGTCATAGGCGTTGAAACCTATCATTGTTTCCCTGTGTCTATCTTTCTAAACTTGTTCAACAATTTAAGTTAGTTAATTTTGTCCAGTTATGTCATCAACTCTGTTGTTTTTCCTTACAGAGAAAGTACCAATTTTCTTGTTTCTAACGTCTGTTGCTACTAAATCTTTTGATTTATGCAGGAAAGAAATATGGATGGAAAAATCCAAATTTCAGAACCTTCATCCCCACGATCGGTTACAAAAATGGGATTGAGGTTAGTAGCTTCATTTTTTTAAAAAAAAATTATGTTGGACTTGTTCATTTAATAGGAAGGGATCAAGGGTAAAGAACTTTCCACTTTTAAACATGCATTTTCTTAGACATATAAGATCCTGCATCTTGCCTTATGCTCATGTTATAAACTAAATCTCACTTGGTTAGTTGGTTGAGTGAAATACCAAAACGTCATATTATCTCATTGTGAATGTAATTTGTAAGCAAGATTTTGTGATGAAGTGAAATAATAAATCTTTCACTACCACAGAGACAAGTATACTGTGGTTTACAAAACAATGTATATTATTCATTTAGCGTCATATGAGATGTACAGAGAAAAAATTGGTTAAACTCCTGTTTCTAGTAGTTGAACTGACTAGAGAAGTTTAAGTAGTGTTCTTTTGTCTGAGAGCATCACTTTTCTTTTTCTGTAGTTTTGATGGTTTCCTCTCAAATGTTTAATTTGGGTTATAACTGCTGACATAAGCCCTTTGTCATCCCTTCTCCTGGGTTTATGTATCAGGAGTGTCTCTTGAACTATCAGAGAAGTGTTTAGTGATTGAAAAAAAATTGAACAAGTAAAATATTTTAAGTTCTTGCATTTGATGGCACTAATAACTGGGATTTTGATATTTTGTCCTTTAATTTCAACGTGTAGAGACCGTACAACTAGTATGGAGGATCCAGATGGGACACTAGCAAGTGTTGCCCAATGCATTGAGCAGTTGAGGCAGAATTCTTCCTCGTTTCAAGAGAAAGAGTTTTCTTTAAGGCAGTTGCTGGAACTCATTGAAACACGGGAAAATGCGCTGAGTGCTGTTGGATCTCACTCACAGGCAGTCCCAGTGCTTGTTTCTCTTTTAAGGTCAGGGTCGCTAGTGGTCAAAATTCAAGCTGCTCGTGTATTAGGGTCCCTCTGCAAGGAGAATGAACTGAGGGTGAAAGTTTTGCTAGGTGGTTGCATACCTCCTCTGCTTGGGCTTCTTAGGTCCAGCTCCTCTGATGGTCAGGTTGCTGCTGCAAAGACCTTATATGCAGTCTCTCAAGGTGATGCAAGGGATCATGTTGGCTCGAAAATTTTCTCCACTGAAGGGGTTGTACCAGTGCTATGGGGACAGCTAGAGCGAGGGCTGGAAGCTGGGAAATTGGTTGAAGAATTATTGACTGGAGCTTTGAAAAATCTTTGTGGAAGCACAGAGGGATTTTGGCCAGCAACAGTGCGAGCTGGAGGAGTAGATATACTTGTGAAATTGCTGACAACTGGACAGCCTGGTACTCAAGCAAATGTGTGCTTTCTTCTTGCTTGTATGATGATGGAGGATGCATCTATTTGCTCTACTGTCTTGGCTGGCGAGGCAGTCAAACAACTCCTGAAGTTGTTAAAATCTGGTAATGAAGCAGCTGTCAGAGCAGAAGCTGCGGGTGCTCTAAAATCTCTTTCTGCTCAGAGTAAGGAGGCAAGGAAAGAGATTGCTAACAATAATGGCATACCAGCTCTCATAAATGCTACCATTGCTCCGTCAAAAGAATTTATGCAAGGAGAGCATGCCCAAGCATTGCAGGAAAATGCGATGTGTGCTCTGGCAAACATATCAGGTGGGTTGTCTTCTGTCATATCCAGCCTTGGAAAAAGCCTTGAATCTTGCACTTCACCAGCACAGGTTGCTGATACTTTGGGAGCTCTGGCT